AGTAACCTGTGGGACCAAGTGTGGTAAATTAATGATTTTAAAAATCAAGTTCTTTTTCCTTGTAATTTACGGCCGTCGATAATACCCGGAACATTTGTTGGGCGAGTGAGGGTCCATGCAAATGACAGTAATGAGTGAAGGCTTGCTTCTAAATTCAAAATATATTAAAATGGGTCGCGAGGAGGGGGTTTTCAAGCTTTACTCACACAGCTACCTCTTGTAATTGTTTTCAATGAGTTAATCATTTGGCGGTTAACTGTTTACGGTTCTGCGATGGTCTGAAATGTCGGTGCAGTATGTCATGTCAAGCCAAGTCGGTAATTAAGTAACTCATGTCAAGCCAACAAATAGTTAGACTGTTCACATTCCTCTATTTTTCCGTAAGATCATCGAGATCGAGAGGTTTGCGTTACGGGCTGCCATCGTCCATGAGTGTCAAAACTACTTAGGGGCGGGGGCGGTTTGGGAGGAAGCGAGAAAAGCGTGACAGGAATTTCACGCCTTTTACCATTCAGTAATTAAGAAACTCCGCTGGTGATGAAAAACATACCAGACACATTTAGCATCGATTACGCGCGTCTACAAATACCTCCTTTCGAAACAGTCATTTTATAATGTTTCTGGGCCATTCCTTGAAATAAAATCGGCAAACATGCACAAGAAAACATTTTCCTAATAAAAAAACAAAACAAAAATCCTTCGTGTGTTTGCGCAAGATGTGCCTTATCGTATAAAAGCGTACGTTTAATGGAAACATCGACTTGTCAACGACTGATCAATGTCGACAACTTAAACTAAACCCGTTGTCAACGCAAATTAACATCTATTGTCTAATGACCAATCGTTGCTGGTACAACGCGCTCCGTGAACGCGAGCTGCAGTGATGTTATTACAGTCCCTCTATTTTTCTCGCCCCCATCCCCCAAAACTATAATCTCCGACGCCCGCCCCCTTGGCACATTTGAAAATCAAGATAGCCGTGACGGTAAGACGCGGTATATCTAAACGATCTCACGAAAAAATAGGGGACTGTGAACAGTCTAACAAACAGTTATATATAACCGACACGTGCTTACTTTAGGTGCTAAGCTTTCTTGAGGTTGACATGAATTACTTACAGACTAGGCTCTGTGAACTTAAGAATAGCTAAGGGGCTCCTCTCTTTCGATTTTAGTTGACAATACTCACATTCGTAGTAGTTTCTATACTGTTTACAAATTCAGCCTGATATTTCAGACGTCTCCTCTAGTCGCAAGTGAAGTTTGCGACTCGTGGAGACGGCTGAAATTCAAGCTAGTTTACAGTCCCCTCTTTTTTCCCGCCTGGTTGAGGATGCCGATCGCCGCTGTGATTTAATTTGGGTATCCCCTGTGACGTTGCATTTTTTCCACTCTGTGTGCTGAAACGCTGTTCCCCCTATATTTCGAGCCCAAGGCTAATTTAACGAAGACCTTTAAAGGTTTGCTTATGCGACTTGTTATTTTTGAAAACACTATTTTTCAGTAATAAATTCCCTGAATATTACAGTATTTGTTTGTCACGTGTCCGGGTCAAAGGTGAATAGAAAGAAAAGGAGCCGTCCATCTTTGTTTGTTTGTTTGTTTGTTCCACCTTGCTAAATATATCATCATCTCGGAGCACTTGGTTCCGTCGTGTCAGTGTCCTGTCTGGGGTCTGAAACGGGCATAGGAAGTCTGTGTGGATCTCCATGATCACGGGGAATCACAACAGCCCCTCCCATAAAAGTTGTAGTTCCACACACACATGTTAGCAAATCATTCGAATTAGCACCAACTTCACTCTCACCAGTTCAGTCGTCAGAGGATACCCAAATCACTTTGACAGCGGCGATCACAATCTTCAACTTGGCGGAGGAAAATAGGGAGCTGTGATCTAGCTTGAATTTCAGCCATCTCCTCGAGTCGCAAACTTCACTTGCGACTCGGGAGACGGATACAATTCAGGCTAACTGATAACAGTTAGAAACTACCGCTGCGCTACCACTGCCACTTCAACTGATTCACGGCGAATGTGAATCTTATCTACTAAAGTCCAAAGCGACGAGCCCCTAAGCTCTTCTTACGGTCGCAAAGCCGTAAATGAATAACCGTTAAACCGCATGGCAAACATTTACAAAGGGTGGCTGTGTAAGAAACCCCTCTCCTCTCGACCCATTTTAATATATTTTGAATTTAGAAGCAAACCTTTACTCATTACTGTCATTTTCATGGACCCTCGCCCCACAAATTATTTGCGACAAAATATTGCTTTCTCATACCCGGAGATGATACGAGTTTCTTTTTCTTTATTTCTTTCTCTTTCGGTTTTTTGTTATTTTACGTTATTATTTATTTTTACAAAAATTATTTTTTTATTATTTAATTTAATTTTTTTTCATGAAAATTATTTCTATTTTTTCATGTTCCGGGATGTTCCGGGATGTTCCGGAATGTTCCGGCATATTCCGGAATGTTCCGTGTTCCCGGTTTTATCGACGCCCGTAATTTACGGCTAACCATCAGGTGGTATTCGCGCTAGCCTGCACCACAGACGAACTAAACTCTGTTACTAACCGAGATAAAAACACGTTTGCGATGCAGGCTCATTCGCGCTTTCCCCTCAAAAAGAACGCCAGCTGATCTCAGGTTAGTAACTAA